GCCACTCTAGCTCAAAACCATCTTTGATAAGTTTTCCGCGCTTAGCCATGTTTGATGAGCTGCTCGCGCCCGGCCACGGCGTGAACAGCGGGGCTGCCGTAGCTTTGCGCTTTGAGGAAGCGTAAGTTAGGTCACCGACCTCTAGTTCTATACTCAGAACAAGTACGAGTTAAGCGGATCGCAATCCGCTTACTCCAAGAGTAATTATAGCCTTAACCCAAGACTAATTAACGCTTCGGTTTAAATTCAAAACTGACTTTATTTATCTTTATCTGCGGCAAAGCCGTCTAATTTTAAATACATAGATTTGCCTAAATATGCATGGTAAAATCTAAATACATGTATAAATACTGGATATCCAGCCCAGTACATATTCTTGTTTGGGTGTGGTAGCACCATGCCCATCTGGTGTCACACACCCCTGTTACCAGGGTATGTGTAAACCCATTACAGCGTGGAGCTGTCCCATGGAAGTTGCGCCAAGATCTCTCACCAGGTTCCAGTGTTATAGGTACCACTTGGACGCGTTATATTGCGGCAGTTCCTCAAGGTGTTTATGGAAGGAGATATATCATTTATGGCAACCTGGAGTACGGTATGAATCGGAAGTACCGCGGAAATTGGTATTTATGACTACGAAGAAGAAGGGGCCAATTTACACTTATGCTACAAGTCGCACGTTTAAGAAAATAATGGTTTCTTATGAGAAAACGCAAAACTTGAATAGTTAGTATCTAAGAAAATAGAATAAATCCTGGCTACATCCTCATGTAAGAGCAGATCGAACGTGCAGTGTAACTTAAATAATAAATAATCTGTTTCGCTTTTCGTAGCTGCTGTGCATGCACCCATACCCCTGTGTGTTTGTTAAGGCAGACTTTGCAATTAAAGGTTTCTTCTGTGCAAAGTGCATGGCAACCAGGTTACATTTGGTTACAAATAGATGAAGAAAACAGCTCTTGTTTGTTGTGGGTCCCGTTGAATACAGTTCACTAACGGTCGAAGGACCGAAGGCGGGAATCATTTATCTGGAAGCGCTTGTCAATCTTGATAACGCATTGATGCAACATGTCAAATATCGCGACAGTGAAATAAACTATGAAATCGCAACCCGCTGATGCTGGGCTACCGATCAGATGATGCCCGCTTACCGAATGGAAACCTTGCAGGCTTACGCGGGCGGGTATCTTGCTCACGCTCTCAACGAGTACCTCAAATTCGTCGAGCAAGGACTCGCTGATTCTTGTTCCATCATCTATCAGAATTATGCCTGCGTCTTAATTAAAAAGCGGTCAAAGGAACGCGTGTGTTTCATCAAATCTGTGCTTTAGATATAAGTATATGTACTGCTGGTAAAAAGTTCTTCTCACGCTAAATTCCGCGCCATGAAGGAAGACGCGCGCCTCACTTGACTAGCAGTTGAACAAGCGAGCTTCAGTAAAACAGACACTCAACTTGAGCGCCTTTAGTTCGTTGACTTTGCGAGTACGAACATCGATGCAGACGACGCGCTTTTCACCTCATGGTTTTACTGCTAACCACACACTTCAATTCATGAGACAGCTGTTATTTCTATCGTTCAGGTTTATAAATTGAACTAGGTCAGCCCCCACTTATTAGCAGAAAGTGCATCATACCGGGTAACGCTTTTTCGATAAGGTCGGTAGTTCATTAAATCGTCAGTGACGATGGCGCGAGCGCAATCCTGCCTGAAACGCTCATAAGCATTGGAGGAGGGTGCTTTCTTCCACTTCAGCTATTTATGATTTCAGCCCTGGTGTACTACCGATGAATATTGAAGTATACCACCCTTAATCGTCGAGCAATGTCGGCGGATGACAACATTCGTGCAGCTAGCCTTCGTGAGTTCTTACGGCTGTTGCGGTACATCGATTTTTGACCGCAGTGTTGGATCCTGAGAAGGGTCCAATCAACGTGATCGCACTGTGCGGCTTCAGGCACTTGGCCAGAATTGGTATCTGCAAGTCGTCGAGCAGCTGCAGAAGTATATAAGCCCCCTTCTAGCGCATGCGGTGTTCATGATACCCAACGAGTAAAAAACATTGAATAAAGGCAACCTGCCCGTGGACATGATTACGCGTTACATACGCTTCTGTGCTGACAGCTATTAAATACACCTGGAGGTATTCCAAAGGTTTTGAGATAACGTATCAAACCATCCGATATCAACTCAAATGGAAAATACAGTTGCAAATGGTTATATACATGTACTGAATCGGTTGCAAGCTATAGCACGCTATGCAACTATAGATGCAATGAAAAATACAGCAGGCAATAGACACTTTGTTATTAGTATCTGGCTACACCAAGCTCGAAAAGAGGGGTGCGTTGGCTACAACGAATGTCGTTGCCAATAACATCTTCGGATTGTACAGTGGTTGAATAGCGTATGACTTGAAGGGCGAAAGAAGGCTGCATTATATGAATCTACGGCAAATGGCTGCCATAAATATGCTCACCACTTTCACTTAGACAGCGGACAGCATAATGTAACAAAGAACGCATCGTAGCCTTATAGATCACGAACACTACATGTGTGTGATGTGTGTTGCTTTCTAAACATTCAGGATCTCCGCCATAGCGTCACGCACTCGACGCGTTACTAACTAAGATAGATTATGCTTGTCTATGGGAGTCGAATTGTATCGACAACCCCTATTTCATGTCCAAAGCCACTTCGTGGTGGAACCAAAGAAACTCGGAGTCCAGCAATTTCTTTGTAAAAATATGGTGTATTTCCTGAACAAGCATGCGCCGAGTTATTCGACGACAGACTTAATGTGTTGAGCGAATCGCTCCGGTCCGCTGTCCTCTGCGCAAGTTCTACGTGGACACCACAAACGTAATTTTAAGTGTTTTGTCTGATCATATGTATATAGTCGGTCAGCGGTGGACATTCTCGATCTGGGTTAGTCACCTTGGAGAAAGTTTAAAAATTCTGATTTGAGCAACGATTTAAAGCCGTCACAATGTCCAACGGTAAGCCTTGTTGACGGAAAGTTTTTCGAAGGACAGCTTGACTGTATACTCTCAACGTAACGGTATAGCTAACATGAGCAAAATGACTGACTATGTTGCTCAGATTGCTCACAAATACAACAGTACCGATTTTTTTTGCTCGGCGCGTCCTTTAGGAGTCTATTAATAATTTCGATCGATAACCTGTACTTTGCCGAATTCGACAAGCTAACTTATAGTTTTTGTCGCAAACGGCGGAGAATTTATTCGCTGATATGTTTCACGCTTGTGCACATATGTTTTAATCCGTTTATACATCAATACGAAGCCCTCACCGGGCAGTATGATTTCTTTCCCCCGAGGTTGTCACCCAGAGTGTCTCAAACGATATTATGTACCTACGATCTTCATTGCGAGGCGTCTTTGAATGCTGGATGTCATGTGGATCAGTGTTATAATAGAGTATGCTTTGGAATAAGTCATTGCATTAAAGACGTACAACCCCTTGCTTAAGAAGCGAATTCTATGTTTTCAAGCCATATCATTCATAATGAACATCTGATGTTTGGACCCTCTTACTGCCCAAAGCTTTCCGCTGCACAGCACATGTTTCCACTGATTCGTACGCCGTGTCGATCACCTTATCCACTAGTAGCCATTGGACATAAAATTGATTATAATCGGAGCAACTGAAAAGCACATCTACCACCACATGAAGCCTGCCCGGATCATACCTCACCTCAGACGTATACCAAGCAAGAAAGGGTCTTTCTATTCTCTGCAAGAGCTGTGTGGATAACGTCACATGGTCTTTAAATTGCAATCGGGTAAACGCCAAGCAGGCGTGACTGACGTCGACGGGGCAGATTCATTGCAGGGAGCTCCTTGTCGCGAGCAGGATAGTTTTTCCAGCTGGCAAAATTCAAGCGCAATCTCGCTTCGATGTTCATTGCCATATACTTGAAGGAAAGTGTGGGCTGTTGCAAAGTCCGAGGCTACACAGACGAAATAGAATGGCCGATCTGGATTCAGAAAAGCCACAGTCGGGGCGCATTAGGCCTTCTCTCACAGTATCCAAAGCAGCCTATTCTGCCACACATTAGCACCAACTATCAACGTGTTAAAGAAGATTGATGATGGGTCATGCCATGCCGGCATAGCATGAACTGTTCTTGTACGAGTAGCTGGCCAGGGTAAACCAATTTCCTAACTTATTTTGTGACGGAGCCACTCACCTATCTACAACAAGCTCTTTTCGCGGGATCGGCGCGCATACTTTGCTTCCTAATATTATAATCCCAACAGGATGTTGTCGGTGTCAACGACAAACTTGTCTATATATATGACTGAATATTTGGAACACATACACTCAAGCACTGCCCAGATAAGTTTGTGCTTAGCAAGTATCACCCAGTGATTCAGCGTTGCAGGTGTGTGATAATACCCAGCCACTCACAGAGAATCGCGCTCGCACAATGAGAGGAATGTCGCTGTTTATCACCAGCAGCTGGTAATAATATTAGCTAGGTCGAGAGTACAACTCTAAGTGCAGCCGAGAATGGAGTTCTTAAGTACATCCTTCTATGAGTTGTGATTTACACCAGAATCGTGGCTGCTATATAGCTAGTTCTAGGTATACATAATTTGTCAGTTGCCATTAGCCTTTCTGAAACAGAACATGACCGACAAGTGTGGAGGTGTACACAACGCGCTTCGTGCTTCGCACGGGAGGTAGCTCACATCATTTTTTTGGTAAGGAAATTGCCGTGTGACGCGATATTTAGGCGCAAGATACAAAGTCGATTCCGTGACACACTTCCCTGTTCGCGGTAAACCCGTAAAACCCAATATAATTTCCCAGTTTTACTGGGGCCTATCGCCGCTGGCGCGCTCGAGTAGCTTGCGCTCGTTGCACTGTATTCTGCTCCCGCACACGGAAGTTGTGCTTTGCACTGCACTTCTTTGAGAGGAATAGAGTATAGGTGGAAGACATAGGTGATCGAGGACCCTCAATGAATGCGTTAGCCGTTACTGCCTCCGAAGAGAGCCAGGGGCTATTGCGACAGCTCGAGTTTTAATTTTTGAATATAGTCTGCCGTTTCTTGCTTCCCTTAATAGATAGAGTAGAACACAAACGCACCCGATACGCCTGGTGAGACGATGCGAGCATCTGTTGCTTGAGATCATTCCATCTTGTGATTGCAATTTTACCGAGGTATTGCATATAAGGCCCACGACCTCCTAGCGTGGCAATCACCTGTGCGACGCGTTGCGGATTTCAGCGGATTAAGGCCGAAGGCAAACCCTCAACTTCCCACATCAATATCAGGATGTTATCCATTCCTTTAAGGGCTGGACGCCTCATCAACAACTTGCACTAGGAACTTTTTTACACAGGCGCCCGGTAGGGTCGATCCTGGACGTGGATCGCTTCCAGACGAGTGATCACCGCCTTTGTCCGTTACTTTTTTATCCAATGTACTTCTGATAAACAAAAGCTTGCAATGCTGGTCTCCAAGTCCTGAAAATATGCAACCGAGCGTATACCTGATAGAGTGCAGCTACCTGCCCGCGTTTACCATGGACTCTACTTTTGGAGTTCTATCATTTTCAGACTCCCGATTTACGTATCTATGAACATTCACCATTACGTCAAGTATAATTTTAATTTTCGTACAATATATTAAGTGTCAAACGGTTGTAGGAAATGTGTTAGGGAAGTAGACACGATCCCAGAAATACCACGGACCGAGTCCCATCATCACCATATACTTGGGTACTAGCAAATCTACTAGAATTATAAGGTAT